CAGTCCTCAGATGGGTCACCTACAAGCCTCGTTTTCGTGTTTCGTCGATATTACCATTGCATGCCTGAATCTCGATAGTTTTTGTTTACACGTATATCCAGCTTGTTGATGTGTTTAACATTAAATTGTCTCCTTGCATGCTAGCTACCCATGCCTGGCCGCGGTTGGATTCGAACCTACGACCTTTGGAATACTAGCCCAATGCTCTGCCAACTGAGCTACGCGGTCAGGTCGGTTCGATTATGCGATATTTCGGAACTGAGTCTAGTTCCTTCAATATCAGTGTAATCTAATAATCATGATACTTGCTGTGTTAGTGTAATGTACTCAGGTGAATAAGATGCTTGTGTGATGTTACTCTGAATGTGTACCCACACCGGGTAGGCTTGAAAAATATGCCTGGCCACGGTGGGATTCGAACTTACGACCTTTGGAATACTAGCCCAATGCTCTGCCAACTGAGCTACGCGGTCAGGTCGGTTCGATTATGCGATATTCCGGAACTGAGTCTAGTTCCTTCTATATCAGTGTAATCTAATAATCATGATACTTGCTGTGTTGGTTTAATGTACTCAGGTGAATAAGATGCTTGTGATGTTACTCTGAGTGTGTATCCACACCGGGTAGACTTGAAAAATATGCCTGGCCACGGTGGGATTCGAACCTACGACCTTTGGAATACTAGCCCAACTGCCCAATGCTCTGCCAACTGAGCTACGCGGTCAGGTCGGTTCGATTATGCGATATTTCGGAACTGAGTCTAGTTCCTTCTATATCAGTGTAATCTAATAATCATGATACTTGCTGTGTTGGTGTATGTACTCAGGTGAATAAGATGTTTGTGATGTTACTCTGAGTGTGTATCCACACCGGGTAGGCTTGAAAAATATGCCTGGCCACGGTGGGATTCGAACCTAAGACCTTTGGAATACTAGCTCAATGCTCTGCCAACTGAGCTACACGGTCAGGTAGGTTCGATTATGCGATATTCCGGAACTGAGTCTAGTTCCTTCTATATCAGTGTAATCTAATAATCATGATACTTGCTGTGTTGGTTTAATGTACTCAGGTGAATAAGATGCTTGTGATGTTACTCTGAGTGTGTATCCACACCGGGTAGACTTGAAAAATATGCCTGGCCACGGTGGGATTCGAACCTACGACCTTTGGAATACTAGCCCAACTGCCCAATGCTCTGCCAACTGAGCTACGCGGTCAGGTCGGTTCGATTATGCGATATTTCGGAACTGAGTCTAGTTCCTTCTATATCAGTGTAATCTAATAATCACGATACTTGCTCTGTTGGTGTAATGTACTCAGGTGAATAAGATGCTAGTATTCCAAAGGTCGTACGTTCGAATCCCACCGTGGCCAGGCATATTTTTCCAGCCTGCCCGGTGTGGATACACACTCAGAGTAACATCACAAGCATCTTATTCATCTGAGTACATTACAACAACACAGCAAGTACCGGATACTTAAGTGGCTGTCTCACTAAGAACCATGCAGAGTGTTTCAGGTTGAAAATTAAATTTCCTTTATATTTTTACCATGAACTACTTTTGTTCTAAAAGGTATTAAACTAATATTAGAATTTCTAAATTTTTCTTTTTGTTGAGTTATGACGAATTTTTGTCTGGACGTCAGCGACACTGAAATTTGACCCCGAAAACGGCGGTCAAGTGTGTGTTAAATTGTGCATCATAACTCGGAAAGTTTCGTGTCAAATTAAAAACATATTTCAGCGTATTGAGACATATTCTTCTTCTTTTAGACTGTTGAAAGAATTTGAGTGTACATCTTACTTTAAGCCTATTAGTCTCCGTCCAAAGAAGTCGGTATTTTCGTTCGCCGAAAAACTAATGATTAGGTACAAAATTCAAACTAAAAATTCTCAAAAGTGCAACCTACCTGGTGTCTAAAACATTTTTAGGGTTAAAGTAGAATACTTAAAGTTATGTTATTCGCAATAAAACTTGTCGGCAAAAGGAATATGAAGGAGTGCAAAATTCATAAATTATGGCT